CCACTCAGGTTCTCCTGGAAGCCCCAGTCTGCTGCCACAAGGCTGGGCCACGTGGGTGGGGTGCCCTGAGATCCTAGCCACTTTGGGGAGCCAGGAGCTCATGAGGAGGAGGCTTTGAGGAGACCCTGGAGACTTTTGCAAGATCTTTCATAGCAAGAGGCCCAAGTGAGTGCTTTTCTGTAAGAAGGGTACCCAGTCTCTCCCCCAGGGAACCAACACAGCCCCCCCCCCTCCACATTCACTCCAGACAACTATCTGGCAAAGAGAAGGGATCCCACTCCCTGGATCCCAGGGCTCTGCCTGGTGTGTGTGGGGTGCTCCAGGGGAAACTAAGGTCCCTTGGGGAAGGATGGGGACTCTGAAGACCACCTGTGTATGCTCAGGGCAGGAGGGTTCCACAAGCCACGTTTCCTTTTAGCTTCAGATTGTGTCTTTATGTCTTGAACATTTTTTTAAGTTTTATTTTTAACTGTGTATATGTGTGTGTGTCTGTGTGTGGGTATGTACAGGTGACCTGAGAAAGCCAGAAATGTCAGATCCCCCAGAAGCTGGGGTTACAGGTGGTTCTGAACCACCTGACATAGATGCTGGGACTGAACTCAGGTCCCCTGTAAGAGCAGTATGTTCTCCTAATCGCTGAGCCATCTCTCCAGCCCTTGAATATATTTTTAAGGATATTTTATTTATTTTTATTTTATGTGTATGAGTCCTTTACCTGCATGTACGTATGCATGCCAAGTGTGTGTGCAGTGCCCGTGGAGGACAGAAAAGGGCGTTGGATCCCTTGAACTGGAGTTAAGGACCACTGTTAGCTACTATTTGGGTGCTGGAAATGGAACCTGGGTCCTTTGCAAGACCAGTCAATGCTCTTAACCCCTGAGCCATCTCTCCAGCCCCTTGAACATATTATAGTTGTTTTTTCCAACAAGATTTGAAAAGCCCTGGTTGGCTATATGGCCTGGGCTGGCCTAGAAACTTGTCTTCCTGACTTAATCCTCTTCTGGCCTCTGTGGGCTCCTGCATGCATGTGGTACACATAGATTCATGCAGGCTCATATGTATATATGTATATACACGCATATCTTAAAAAGAAAAAATAAATTGAAACAAATAAAAGAAATTTAAATGTTCAAGAACCTACTACTTGCTCAGTGGGTTGATAACTATGACATCATCACTTCACGGGCCTCTGCCTGGCCTAGGGGATCATGCACTAATCTCATAGGCACAAGGCACCATGAACAGAGGACTGATAGCACACAGTGGGAGGGCTGGTGACCAATGCTCAGTCCAAAGCAAGCAAGCAGCTTGGAAAACTCTTCCCTACTATACCAGAAGGCCCCATGCAGCTCTGGCTCTTGTGGGAACAATGTCAAAAAAAATAATGATCCATCTACAGATGAGCAGAAAACACTGGACCCTGCTAGTGTCTGGTAGTCTAGCTCCCGTCGACCCCACCCAAATTCTGTTAGTCTAGCTACACCCCTTCCCCACCGAAGCTAAAAGTTTATAGTCGAAAATTGCTAGCAGTCAAGCTCATCTCACGACCTGCAGACGTGACAAGGTCTTGCGTCTGGTGAGCTCTAGAACAAACAGGATGTAAAACGTAGAGATGAACCCTCACGTTTATCTATTGAGAGACAGACAAACGTAAGAAGCAGAGGGAGCGGTAAGGCAAGGTGATGGGTAAGGTTGCACCCTAATGGGTACTCGGCCAGAGAGGAAAGGGAGGAAGAGACCTGTGTCGGGCGATAAACCTGTTCTCTGGGCTCAGGCAGCAGCCTGCCGCTCCGGGCTGATGTCTGGCTTCACTTTTGCTACTGAGTCTCCAATGCTCTTATTATAGAGTGGGAGCCTTTGCTCTCCACAAACGGGCAGGTGGCTCTGTGGGTGTTCCCCTGCCCGTATCTTGCTCTGGGCAGCTGCTGCAGAGATAGACAGGGAGACTCACCTTGGCTTTGTGACCAGGGCTTGTGGGAGACACAGAAGCCCTCATGGAGTGTCTCAACATCCCTGAAGCAGCCGATTCCCTGATGCGGGTGCTTGCCTCTTACACGAGCTTCGTGTTGGCCTGCCATTCAGCCCTCAGTGCTCCCAAGCCCTGTAGCACCTGATGTCCTTACACCATGGTGGCCTCCACCAGTCCAGGCCCCAGTCCCTTGGCACACCATCATCCCTGTGGCTGTTATAGATCAAGTGGCTTATGAAGCCCCCAGGGATGGAAGTGGGGGTCTCCCCTAGTCAGAGCTCATGGTATGCCTAGGGTTTGCTTTGGGTCTCTGCAACTCTGGTGTTGCTGGCTTTGAGGTTCTGTCCCCAGGAGGAACACTGCCAGTCTGAGACACCTCCATGTGCCCCTGAATTGGCAGTGCGGTCTGGCACAGTTTCTGGGACTGTGGGTGCCGGGGCCTGTGTGGGGAGGAGGAAGACAGTGTGTGGCACAGGTGGAGACAGCTGCTGTCTTGTCAGGCACAGACTATGGATGACTGCATGTGACTCTTCAGGCTGTCCTCTTGAAGACTCATGTCTAGGGACCTGGCCTCCTTCTCTGCAGGGCCTGTGGGTTTTAACACCATCTGGCAGCAGTGTCTGGTGCCCTCAGCTGGCCTTTGCTGTTGAGGCTGGCTGCAGGCCTGGGAGCCCTGAGCATGGAAATGTGGGCTGGGAGTTTTCTGGACAAACGGCGTTCATGGAGCATCCCTGTGAATATTTCTTGCCCTATGGTGTCAAAGGTGTGATTTAGGCCACAGGATTTTATTTTCTTTTTAATAAATAAATTAATTAATTAATTTATATTTATTTAGTGTGTGTGTCTCTGTGTGTCTATGTGTGTAATGTATGCAATGCATGTGTGTGGGTGTACCTGCCCAGAGGCGGACATCCTCTATCACTTTCTATCTTATCCCTTGAGGCAGGGTCTCTCTGAACTTTGAGCTAAGCCCCAGTGATCCTTCTGTCTCTGCCCCTCCACAGGGCTGGGTTCCAGGTGTGCACAGCCATGCCCTGCTTTTTATGTCGATGCTAATTCAGGTTCTCATGCTTGTGAGACAAGTGCTCTTAACCACTAAGCATTCTTCCTGGTCGAGCCATCTCACCAGCCCTGCAAGATATTGTCGAAGCTAGGCGGGTGAGAGGGCTCCATGGTTAAGAGCACCGGCTGCTCTCGCAGAGGACTGGGGTTCAGTTCCCAACACCTACATGTAACTTGCAGTTCCAGGGGATTCCATGCCCTCTCCTGGCCTCCACAGGCATTGCACATACATGCAGGGAAAGCATTCATACACATAAAATAAAAATCAGTCAAAAAATGTGTTTTAAAAAGATATTGTTAAAGCAGGGGCTGGAGAGATGGCTCAGCGGTTAAGAATACTGACTGCTCTTGTAGAAGACCCAGGTTCGAATCCCAGCACCCACATGGCAGCTAACAACTGTCTGTAACTCCAGTCCCAGGGGATCCAACAGCCTCTTCTGTCCTCCACGGGCATTTCATGACACGGGTGCACCTACCCACATGCAGGTAATACACATATACACATAAAATAAAAATAATAAAATTGAAAAAAAAGATATTGTTAAAGCAACTTCAAAACAATGGCTCCTTCTTTTTCCTTCTGGCAGTACTGAGGATTGGTCCTAGGGCCTTATGCATGCTAGGCAGGTGCACTGAGCCCCAGCAGTTTTTAACCCATCAAGAGTATCCAAAAGAAACAGTTCCAAGACAATGGACCTGGAGCTGAGGCAGAGCCTGAGTCTAGGCAGGGCAGATCCTTGGGGGATCAGGGAGGTGGCCTCTGCTTTCTGTTCTTGCTGTTTGAAGCCCAGGTGGGTAGAGTGGGGGTGGGTGAGTGGAGGGTGTCTTGGTACTAGGACAGCTTCAATGTCTTAGGTGCTGTTCTCTCAGTCCCTGGCAAGAAAGGGCTGGCCCGAAGCCTGAGCTCAGCCCATCAGATGCTTCCCCAGGACACTCACCTAGAGGCATGCGGCACAAAGAAGCAGAGATGTTTTAAATTCCTGCTGACCAGGACGAGGGCTCAGTTGAGAAAGTATTTGCAGGACTGAGTTCAAGACCAAGAACCCACATTAAAAAGAAAAAACAAAACAAAACAAACTCTGGGTGTAGTGGCATGTGCTTATGATCTCAGCACTGGGGAGGCTGAGGCAGGCAGATCCCTGGGGCTCACTGGCCAGCTAGCCCAGCCCACTTGGTGAACTCCAGGTGAGTAAGAGACCCTGACTCAAAAATAATATGGAGGGTATCCTAAGGAACAAGACCCGAGGTTGACCTCTGGCCTCCACAGACACATACTCTCACACAAGTATTCACACACACACACACACACACACACACACACACACACACACACTCTGCTGCTGGCCATGAAGAGGTGGGGAGGTATTCAGTGCCCAGATCCCAAATATGACAGTCACACAGGACATTCCTGCAGCATCTAAGCCAGCTCCCCGGTCTATCTCCTGGGCCTCACAAGGCACCCAACACCTTCCCAGCACCCAGCACCCAGCGCCCCTCTTCTGATGACTCCCTACCCCAGCTGTTCTCTATCTGAGGTCATAAACCTGCTGATGGGTATCTAGAGTCTCTTCACTTTTCCACTCGTACGAACACTGAAGTTCGCCTTTGGGCCTCCGCCTGGAGCCCAGGTGTGAGGGTTTCTGGAGGATTAGCTCCTTGCGGTGACTGTTCTTCTGTTTGCACATGCTGTCCTCCGTCTCCTGCTGCCCCGTCAGCCTCCCAGTCACAGCTCAGTAATCCTGTCTTCACAGAGGAGCCCCTGTTCTCGGTTAGGCCCACCCTGTGTTTACCAGCTCCGCTCCCATGCTGGTGTTCCACTTATTTCTCTGCTGGGATGCCTCCCTGACTGGCCCAGGAATTCCTGAGGACAGGGACTTTATCTCTTTCTCTGTCCCCCAGAACCCAGCACCCCCTTGTCATCCAGACACCACAGGAACCCGGCAACATTTCCTGTCTGAATAAACGCACATGGGAAGCAACAGTGTGAGTTTAATGACATCAGACTAGTGACTGGGACCAACCGAACAACTGCAGGGAGCATGGGAAATCCCACAGAGGCCTCACCCACTGGTGCCTGGAAGCCAGCCAAGCAGTGGGAGCCCTTGGGGGAGTCTCAGCATCAGGGCTGACTGCTGGTTGAAACCTTTGAGTACTTTCTTTCAGCTCATAGAGGCAGAGAAAGCTGGGGAAACATCTGGTGGCAGGCTGCTGGAGGTGGTGCGGAGGGGAAGGAGGTCAAGGTGGCAGGCTGCTGGAGGTGGTGCGGAGGGGAAGGAGGTCAAGGAGGGGGTACCTGAAGACAGATGTCTAGAGCCAATCCAGTTCCCTGAGGCCCCACTACTGGGCTGCACCATCTAATCCATGTCAGTGGTATTAGTCAGGTAGAAGGGGCGGATGACCACACGGAAGCTGTTGAAGGACCCTGAGGTGCAGGGGAAGAGGGAGGAGGCCTTGGTGCCGTTGGTGCCCAGAGCGCTGGGGATGGGGGCCTTGGCGTCTTCAAAATCTGTGACGTCTACCACACGGCGCCCTCCACACAGCATCAGTGCTTTGTTTTCATACCCAACGGTGGGGTCCGAGTAGCCGGACTTGAAGAGGCCCAGCACTGGGAGCTCCTCTGGAGAGCAAGAGAGCCCATAGTTCCAGCAGCTCTGCATGGTGGGGAGGTAGGTAAGGGACCAGGAGATCAGCCTATCTTTGAAGAGGAAGCTGGGGTGCTGTGGGGTCTGCAGGGACCTGTAGGGGTCATATGGGGATGCTGATGATGTTAGGTAATAGTGTGTTTGATACTTTTGGAAACGAGATGTCATCTTGCCCCATGAATCCCAGGAACTGGAAGTCACCAAGGCGCTCCAGGTGGTTGAGGTATAAATCCTGGGCTTGTAGGTGTCCTCAGTGAGATTCAGGCCTCTGTACTGGGCCAGCACTCGGAAAGGCACAGTGTGGAACTCCAGGGCCTGCATGGTCTTCCTCTGGAACAGTGCCTGGTGCCCCTGGTACAGGGACAGGTTGAATTGCAGCTCAAAGAGTTCCTCGGGTAGTATCATGGGGAAGCGGACCTGGTCCAGCAGGGCCTCCACTACTGAGTGGGAGGCACCCGTCTCCTTGCTCCACAAGTCCAAGGCCCTCAGCAAGTCCAGCTCACTAGATATGGCCAGCTCATTCTTGGGGAGCAGAGCCTGGAGCAAGGTGGTGGGGACGCTTGACCAGGCCTCAACCTGTGTCAGAGGCTCAAAGTTCCAGGCCAGGAATTGCACACACAGATCCTCCAGCACAGAATCCCCAGTGGTCTGCGCATAGGCATAGAGGTCCAGGGGTGTGCGGAAAGTGGAGTCCTGGGGGAGGAGGGTGGCAAAGAGCCTCCCGCAGTAATCACGAAGCTGCATGGCCCCATAGGCAGAGGCCAGTTTGTGCAAGCACTTGACAGACGACATAGTGACCTCGATTCTCCGGGTGTAAAAGTACCTGGGGCAGGAGAAAGTGGAGGAGCTGAGGTCTGCCCTGCAGAGTGGCAGGTATACCCAGCCTCCTACCCCACATAGACACTCACTGAGCCTTCACTACTGACCTGCTGATACCTCAGTTTGCTATGTCTGAGGCACTCGGTCATCCCCAATCTCATGTTGGCCAATAGCAACTTAAGGAGTGTCAGGCCACGGGGTGGGGGATTGCTGATGGTGACACCCACAGTCACTTTCTCCCTCACCTGTGGCTAAGGGGTTCCCACTACCTCCTGGTCTCTCCACTGTCGGCTCTGGGAGTGGGTCCTCTCATCCTGCAGTCATCCCCTGCTGGGTTCTTATGGGTGCCTCTCTGTCCCCAACACAGGCCCCTTGGCTATCTCAATTCTGCTTTCCTGTGACTCTGAGTGATGTGGAGGGGCCAGACGCCAAGCCAGAGTGACCCTTTCTCATCTTACCACACAAAAGAATCTTACACTATATCCTTATAGAAGCCAAGCGACACACGGGAGAGTGTGTGTGCATGCGTGTGTGTGTGTTACACTCATCTCTCCTTCTTACCTCACAGTGTCTGTGCCCCCTGAGGGTCCCAGGTAAGACCCTGCTTCATTCCAGCCCCGCTGTGGGAGTTCTGCACTACCCAGTGCCCACCCCAACTCTATCTCTACTGTGCCTTCCCAGCTGCCCCTCAAACCAGTTCAAACCCTAACTTTTCATGGTAAACTCACAATCCCAGCACGTTGGAAACTTCTTATACCAGCATGTGGTATTCAGAGAAATTGTATTATGAAAATTCATGTATTTGTGTGCATGTGTGAACACACATGTGTGTACCAGTTGAGTGTGAATTTGAGAGTGAGCATGTGTCCATAGGGTGCTCATACACAAGAATGAACAAACAGGCACATGTGCAAATGAAGTTGAGATGCAGGAATGTGTCCACGCAAGGGAAGGCAGCATTCGGATGCGTGTGTCCATGTAAATGTTTGAATGTATAATGTGTGTCTGGTGTATGTGTGCCCTTGCAAGTGCAGTGAGTGTTTGGGTGTGTGAACATTCAGATGCAATGTGTGACCATATAAGTGTGCCCAGACATATGTGAGAGTTGGTGACTGTGTCTGTGAGTGTAGGTATGTGCCAGAAGCACGCATATGACTGTGACATGCAAGTGAGTACATGTGTGTTGCATTGCACATGTGCATGCTTGAATGGGCATGTCAGAACTACTGCCTCGCTACCCCACCCCATCCTGGTGGGTGCTTTAGAAGAGGGGAGACACATGCAGGTCTGGGCTCACCTGATGAAATCTCTGACAACAGGCATGCACTCTGCATCCACTCTCATGATGACACTGCTGCCCAGCACCTGCCACAGGGCCTCGGCCTCGGGGTTGGTGTTCAGGATCAATGTGTGGGCGCAGAGGCTCAGGTCCCCGTGGCCCTGCCCTGTCACCTGGATGAACAGGTCACAGCCCTGCTGGCTGTCAAAGATCTGGCCCAGCGCTTCAGGAAGCCCGCCAGAGAGGTCCAGGGTGTGGACGCCTGTGGTTTCTGGGAGGGGAAGAGGGAGTGTGCTGTGTGAGAACCTGCTACCCCAACTCAAGCAATACTCTGACCCTCAGAAGTCAGGTTCTTCATCTGAAATGGCCATCATTATGCCCAGCACTTGCTCAGAAGGGCTGGTGGAAGATGGGGCTGGGACAGGTCTAGCGGAAGGGTACCTTTGTTCTCTGTACCTCATGGAACAGGAATGGGTTAGGCAAGGCTCACCTCCATGGCCTCATGTGGCCCTGCGCCCTGCACTGTACAATGACTGGCTCCTTGCACCCCACACTCAGGCACCTCCTGAGCTGGGAGACCTAGGGCTCTGACCCCAAGCCCCAAGCCCTTCCTTTTCAAACTGTAGATAACCACTCTTCCGAACCTGGGCAGCCTGAGAAGTTAGGGTCCTGAAGCAACCCCACTTTAGATCTCAGGGATTCCCAGTAGCCTCACAAAGGGGACAAGTCCTTGAGGGGCTAAGAGAGGACCCTTCACTCTTTCCTCCCAGACCTAACCTAGAAGCATAGGCCAGTCTTTCTTTGCTCCATAAAAGTTTGGCTGGATTTGGACACTTAGACTGAATGGGCTGGCCCCTTAATCTCCTCACACTCGGGTCTCAGGACTCTCCTAGCTTCTACCTTCAGTCTCTGTTCCATATTGTTCCCCAGCCAGAAGCCCACACAAGCCTAGCCACACCCCAGGCCAACTTAGCCCCCAGATAGTCTGGCCTTATGGGATCAATATCCCCATGCCTCAGGTCCCTAACTGAGCATAGAGGGAGGTGGGTAGGGAGTATCCTAGGCCCCTCACAGGCCAGCCAGGAGGAAGATGCAGCTGGCAGCCAGGGAGGAAAGCACCCACTTGGGGCTCAGATTTGCAGGTAGAGCAAGGCTGGGATGGAGTCAGGGTTGAGCGGGTGGGTCTATGGGCAACAGGCCTCTTGGTCATAAGCCATCAGGATGTGCATCACTATCTGCCACATGGTCTATTTGCAGGGGTGCTGTGCTAACCACAAGACACTGGCCCTTGGAGAGTCAAGCTTCTAGCACACACAGGTGTCACTTGTCCTCGGGATGTGGCCCTCTGCCTGGCCATCCAGAGTCCCAGTCACAGAAGCTTCTCTGAGGTGGGACATGAGGCAGGGGTCCTTTGTATATCCCAGCCAGCCTCAGAGTGTCACTCTCAACTTCTGTTTGCATGGAGATGCTGGAGGGGCAGGGACACAGAGAGGGCCAATGTTTCCTTTGGGTGCGGGAGGGCAGCTCACCATTGGTGCAGACCACACCTGCGTCCTTCTCATGGCCGCAGTGGCTCTGCAGCCAGCCCAGGGAGCTGCAGTTGGCCAGTGAGGGCTCTGTCCCTCTGCATTCCACCTCATCCAGCATGACAGGTCCCCTTCCTGTAGGCACAAAAGGAGAGAGGGGCCGTGCTATGGGAGGAGCCAGCCCTCAGCCAGGAGCAGGTCCTCTGAACAGACCACTCCCCGATGCGATGGGTCTCTGTGTGGGGCATTACCCAGGGCCCTCAGCTTTGGAAGACAGAATAGCAGCCGCACCTGGCCCGAAGGCAGCTTTGCCCAGTGCCTGTGTGGCATTCTCAAAGCCCAGGGCTCTGCAGACGACGTTAGCATCCAAAAGGCTCCAGAGGTTGTCGCAGACTGTCCCCCACTGGCCTCTGTAGAAGATCTCCACACGGCCTTCATTGGCCGAGGCCCCATTGACCAGGCGCATGTCTCCGTCTTCTACACCTGTTAGGAAAGCTGGTCAGATGGGAGGAAGCCTGGGCTGCACACGGCTCCTGTCCTGCTCTGTCTCACTGGGTATAAGGTCACTGCTGGAGCAGCCTGTTGGGGTTACTTTGTATCACTTGAAAGCCCTTATCCACGAAAGGCCACCGCTGAAGAAGAAGGGCTCTGTGAGGGCCCCATAGAGGCCGTGGCTCAGCGCCAGCCCTTTTGCTCCACCGAGAGGGCACCAGGCCCGTTGAGTGGAAGTGGTGTCCCCCAGGAAGGGTGGGGGAATGGAAGAGGCTCTTTACCAGCTCTCTGGGGTGCTGGTTTGAGGGGTCAGCTGCCCCTTGGACTCCTAGACACAGGCAGAGGGCAGACGCCCTTTGACTAAGATGTGAGGGTGCCCTGGCAATCCATCATATGTTGAAATTATTCCGAGTGGAAAATGCATATTATCCATGAGACCTTTGGACTGTCCTCAGTCAGCAACAGGGCACCACCCCTACTATTTCTTCTAACAGTGAGGGACTGGGGGAAACTGCAATGTGCTGTCCAGACCAGCATTGCAAGGGGAGTGGACCACACAGCAAACCCCAATCCCACACAGCTTCCACTATGTTTCCAGGGTTTGCACCATTGTAAAGCTGACAGTCCTAGGCCAGAGAGGATAGTCAGGTGCAGAAAGGGCTCCTGTCCCACACTCTCCAGGACACCCATCTCTGCCAGTGCTCATGGGGTCACACAGGAGCTGGGTGCCTAAATTTGGGGTCACCCATTGTCCTAGTTTGTCTCTCCGTTGCTGTGACAAAACATTCTGACCAACACCAACTTGGGGAGGAAAGGGTTTATTCAGCTTACATCTCCCAGGTCATAGTTCATCAGGGAGCCCAAGGTAGGACCTCAGGGCAGGAACCTGGAGGTAGGAGCTGAAGCACAGGCCATGGAGGAATGCTGCTTACTGGCTTGCTCCCTTGGCCCCTGCTCAGCTTGCTTTCTTATGCAACACAGGCCCACCTGTCCAGGGATGGCACCACCCACAGTGGGATGGGCCCTCCCACATCACTCAACAATCAAGAAGGTTCCCCACAGAAGTGGCCACAGGCCAGTCCAATGAAGGCAATTCCCCAATTGAGGCTCCCTCTACCCAGGTGTGTCAAGTTGACACTGAAGCTATCCAGCACACCCATGCTTAAGAAGGATACTCAGTTGGGGGTGTAGTTTGGGCACTGGGATGGGCAAGGCTCCCAGACCCTCAGTTAAGAGCATATAAAAGGCTCCCAGGACCCTCTGAAAGCCCGACTATGCCCTGAGGCCTCTGACCTCAGGACAGACTTGGATCAGCACTCTCTGGTCTGCTGACGGGATTGGGGGGGGGGGACATCCATAGTCTCTTTTCAAAGTCTCTTAACTGTGGGTGGGCTTCTGTAAAATCCAAAACAAGTACTGTCTTATTTCAAAGGGAAGAATAGGGCATACCTAAGCAAAACCAAAGTCCAGCAAAGTAGTTCAAGGCTGGACATCTGGGATTCACTCACGATCTTCTGGGCTCCA